ATTTTTCCAGGTGAAATCCACGAGGTCAGCAGAACAAGAAGAAATTGGATTAGACGGGAACATGCGAAGGCAGAGAAGAACAATGGAGTTACATGTTTCAGGTGTTAGGGTTGCAATCATCTGGAGGAGTTGTTCACATGATGGCAGATGGAGGCTACGACTTTCGGGAGGAGAAGGATCTGATGGGGAGTTGAGGTGAAGATCGTTGATTTAAGGTGGGGTTCAGAGGGAGAGAGGTATATCTTGAAGCCTTGAACTACGATCGATATCTTCAAGTTAGAGAGGGGAATAGGTATACTGGGGGTGGTGGGGACGTGTGGAGCCCAACATTTTTAACAATCTATAAAATACTTTTAATAATCTTTAAGAGTTTTTTTTAAATATAAATAAAAAATAGTAAGGGTATAGTAGTCTTTTTATGTCTAGTAGGGACGAAAAACGTAACAAAAAGAAACTATAGGGATGGTCCGAGTGCAAAATAAAAGTTAGGGACCAAACTCGAAATTTTAACCAAATCACAGGGACGATTTCAGTCATTTGTTCAACATATATTTATGAATATTTTAATTATATTGATATTATTCTGTATAACGTGTGGGAATTTATATATATATATATATATATATATATATATATATATTATCTATATATATATATATATCTATATATATATCTATATATATATAAAGGAGGTCATTTAAATGAATGTAGTTCAAATTAAAGCTTTATTTTGAACCATATTGATACTTAATTAGTAATTAAATGATTTATTTTGGCGAACTTATTTAGAGTTGATGAAAATTGAAAGAATGTGTTAATTATTTAGGTTATTTTTCTTTCTTTTAATTTATATATTTATAAAAAGTTTTTTGATGTTGTTGATTCTATTATTGTGGCTTTAGCAATTTATTGTGCATTAAAAATAAAAAAGAATGTGCAAATAGATAAGTCTATCTAAATTATTTTCTCTCTTTAAATTTATACATTTATAAAAAACAATATTCGTTTGGATTTTCACACTTTTTTCTCTTATTTTTTTGTTATAGTTTTCTAAAATGCATGAAAATAAAAATGAATGTGGAAATTGATAAGACCATCAAGGTTTTTATTTATTTATTTATTTATTTCAATTTATGTATATGAATATAAATAAAAACACATAACTTGTTGCTAAATTTTTTGATACGTCAAAATTTGACTTTTTAACATCAAAACCAATTTTTTTTTTCTTCATAAAACGTACAAATTTTTTACTCCTTAAAACCATATATAACAAAACAATTTAGTTTTGGATAAATCTGATTTTTTTTATCATTTCTATAAAATTCTTTTGTAGTTTGTGATTTGCTTTGTTAAAAATTTATTCATCATAAATGTATATTGATATATAAAATATTATTTATTTTTATATATGAAAATAAACATTTCAGATTTTAATATTTCAAAAAGAAAAAAAAACATCAAAAGATTTTCTATAAAAATCGACCAAATCACGACTAGAATAATGATCAAATTTTAGACATTTGTTATTGAAGTTTGTAAATTAATAATTTTTAAACGACCAATTGAATTATATCACTATCTAATATGATAACAATTCAATATAATGTCATTTGTTATACCCACTACTAACCACTATTGTGGTGAGTATCACATCATTACCATATTTCCTACCATTAACTATGAGATATTTACCACTGAACACACCACTCCACATTATTTTTTTAAACAAATTTAATTAAAAAATACATTAATAACATATAAGTTTTTTTAAATACTAGTTTTTCTTTAAATTACAATACCACATTACATTAAAAAAATTACATTAATTAAAAATTTAAAAATAAAAATAACAATAAAAATAAAAAACCTAAAAATAACAATAAACTACCCCTATTCCTACGTCGGGCTCGAGCAGACTCTTTCATCGCGAGAAAAAGATCCAAATCTTCGCCTTCGAGATATTTCGTTTTTATTTTCAAGATTTTCATATCGGTTTTTGTTTGAAGCGTCGATTGTGCATCTTGAAATGACGTTTGTGCTTCAATCATTTTTTCCACTCGATTCATCATCTCAGCCTTGTTCTCTTGAACTTGCATATATCGATCAAATTTGACTCCAAAATGATTCATAACATTAGATCCCAAAGACGTCAAAGCTGCTTTTTTTGCTTTATTTCTTCTAACGGGACGACGAAGAGGTTGCTTGTTTTCAAGATCTAACGGATCATCGTTGATGTTGATGTTTGTTCACCCGTCCGATTATTGGGAAATTACATCCGAGTTTCTTGAACGCTTTGAAACGGAAGAGGTTTGTGAAGTTCCTTCATTTGTTATTTCCATTTTGGAGCGTCTTTCAATTTTAGCCACAGTTTCACATATGAAAAAGCTTTGCGGGTTGGCGTTGTTTTTTAAAATTGCTCCAAGGCCGCCTTGAAGACATCAAAATTGTTTGACTCGCTGTTGCGTATGTTTTGAAGGTTGTTGTAAATTCCTCCAAATTCGGTGCATTTTAATCGAATATGCCGCCACTTCGAGCTAATTTGATTGAGATTTCGACTTTCACTTCCCGTTAACACATAAAACACGCTTCGAACTTTCTTTCAAAAATAAATTGAAGGTTTGATTATCTCCTTCAATTGGGTATTGGGAAGCCGAAACTCACGCCTTCGCTAGCTTTTCTTCTTCCTCTTTTGTCCATGGTACCATTTCTTGGGTAGTGGGGAGGGCCGATTTTTTTTTTTTTTTTTTCTATTTGTTTTAGGTGGTCATGGTGAAAGTTGTGTTTCCGACACAAAATTCAGCGAATCAGGTGGTTGTGATTGTGAATGTTGTGTTTGTGATTGTTGTGGATGTGAAGGTGGTGGTTGTGACGAATGATGATGAAATTGTTGTTGGAATTTTTGGAATTGTTTTAAGTGGTGGTATTGTAGTTGAATGGCCTGTAAAGGTTGTAATTGTTGTTGGAAAAGTGGTGTTTGTTGGATAAGGGAACAAGTTTGTAGCAAATTCATAAAACCACATTGAGGTGATTCCATGGTCGGGAATCGACGCAGGGGGGGGGGGGTATCTAACGCAAAAGCGTTACAGAGTTTGCGGTTTCTAATTTTTTTTTTTTTGGGGGGGGGGGTGGTGGTATTTTGGTTGTGATCCATGATTTTTGGTTGTAAAAAGATTGTGTGTAATTGTGTAATAGAGAAAGAAAAGAATGATCTGAAAAATGAGGTTGTATGGTTAGATATTTATTGGAAAAATTGTTATGTAAAATTGTTATTAAAAATATATTTTTTTTCAAAATTCAACCGTTGGAACTGCTAGTCATACGGTCAAAAAAAGGGAAGGCCCTCATTGGGCGTTGCTACTCGTTGTCCTCACAACAAATCACCACGAAAACGACGAACTACGACAAACTAAGGTGGTGTGCACGACCGTTGTCCGTGGCCACGTAGACCACAATCGGGTTCGTAATCCGTATACCGGACGGTCTATAATAATTAAAAGTGTCTATTAGTTTTGTATTCATCTTAAGTTAGAACTTTTTTAACTAAATATTTAAGTAGTAAGGAATATGATTATAATACACAATATAAAAATCCTTAAATATCAAATAAAAATTGAAACCTACAAACCATTGCTATTCAAATCCAACAAATTAGAATGATTGAGTTTGATAAATTAAATCAAATATTGCAAACATAATCATTCATAGAAAATATTCATAAATCTAGGAAACCAAGTATACAAACTATATATCTTTATAATCTTTATCTTTATACTTATGTGGTTGAAGATAAATTCATATTTTTAACCTTATTCATTAGAAATTAAACTGATTCTCCAACTTATCTACTAAATAATACAATGCAAAAGGTTTGTAAATAATAATATTTAAATAGTGAATTAAATATGATGTTAAATTTTGTGTCGACTAATCTTGTTGTCATTTAACTTATTTACATTTCAATATATAATAAATGAGATCATTCAAATATTATGATTCAAGCAAAATAATTACATTTTTACCACAAGAATTTGATATTTAATTCATTAACTTCCACAAATTAATGTAAATATTTAAGATTATATATATATATATATATATATATATATATATATATCTATATTATATATATATCTATATATATATATATATATATATATATATATATATATATATAATGAATTTGGACCACTCATTTCGAATCTGCCGTTTAAGCGTTCCTGTGTATCGGGCCGACAGAAGAGGTCATATTCATATATAAATACGTATATGAATATGTATATTCATATATGAATAAGTGTATTTATATATGAATACGTATATTCATATATGGATAAGTATAAACGGAAGTGATTATTTATATATGAATATGGCGGTGATGGGTAGTGGCGCAGGTGGCAGTGGCGATGGTTGGTGGCGGAGAGAGGTGGACGATTTATATATGAACACTTATATTTACATTCATATATAAATACTATCCATCATCCGTCAGGTCCAAAATGCCGGAGCGTTTTGGGGTAAAAACAAATTATTGATTGAGAATGATTTGTCTATTATGAAACATTTTAATTTTTTCTCAATCAAAGTGTGTGTGTGTGTGTGTGTGTGTGTGTGTGTGTGTGTGTGTGTGTGTGTGTTGTGTGTGAGAGAGAGGAGAGAGGAGAGGAGAGAGGAGAGAGGAGAGAGGGGGAGAGAGAGAGAGAGAGGAGAGGAGGGCGAGGAGAGAGAGGAGAGAGAGAGGAGAGAGAGAGAGAGAGAGAGGAGAGGAGAGAGAGGGAGAGAGAGAGAGAGAGAGAGAGAGAGAGAGGAGAGAGAGAGAGGGCGAGAGAGAGAGAGAGAGAGAGAGCAAGTCAAATTTGTTGGTAATGGAAAAAAGTAAACTGGTCGTACACATGGCCCAATGAGCATATGTATGATGACAACTTTGCCCTCACCACCAATTCTTTCCAAAAGTTGACAAATACTTCCTTATATTATGGTTTCTCTCTTTGTGTTTCTTGACCCAATCAGCCACTCCTACCCCTCTACCCCACCTTCCAGCTAAAATGAATTAAACAACTCAAAAACCCTACGCACTTTCACTTTTTAGAATCACAAAGATCAAAGCTTTGCTCTAAACCTCAAACACCCACATCCTAAAGCTTGAAGAAGAGAGAGAAAGGAAGAAAGAACAAAGCTGGTTTATTATACTTATGAAAAATGGGGATTTATACATCTTTTAAAGATCATCCCCATTCTCTTCGAAGAAAACTGTTGCCTTATGCTTTGTATGCTCTGCTCTTGATTGCCTTTATTCACTTATTCTTCTTCCCTACACCAACCGCCCTCCCATCCACCACCACCACCACCACCACCACCGTCGATCATACTCTCATCCCCAAATCTCCTCCTCCTCCTCCTCCTTCCGAAGGTACAATCTTTATACCTATTGACGATCTTGTTTGTTTCTAATTGGTCAACTTGTGTGATTTGTGTGATGAATATCTAATCTTTTTACAATCTGGAACATGGATTTCTTCGATTTTTAATTTCTTCCCTGTTTCATACAAATCATTGTTTACAAATTCTTGGTCTTTACATTACCTCGATCTTGGGTTCTATGACTTTTTGTCTTCCTTTTCAGTTTTTGTAGAAACAGAGGAAAACAGCAATGGCTGTGACTACACAGATGGAAAATGGGTTCATGACAATACGGGTCCATTGTACAACTCTACTGCATGTGGTACAATCAAAGACGGTCAAAACTGTTTCAGCCATGGCAGACCAGATATGGGGTATCTTTTTTGGAGATGGAAGCCGAACAAGTGTCATCTCCCCAGGTTTGACCCCAATACTTTCCTCCACTTAACCAGAGACAAACACGTGGCATTTGTAGGCGACTCCATTGCTAGGAACCAGTTGGAGTCTCTCCTTTGTTTGCTTGCCACTGTCTCACCTCCTAACCTTATTTTCTCCGAACAAGACAACAAGTTTCGAAAATGGCATTTTGCTTCGCACAATGTTAGTCTTTCTGTTTACTGGTCGCCATTTCTTGTAAAGGGTATTGAGAAATCAGAAGAAACCCCTTACAATCGACTCTATTTGGATTCCATTAACGATGTTTGGGCTAAAGATTTGGGGGAAATAGATATGGTTGTGTTGTCGATTGGTCATTGGTACCTTCATCCTGCGGTTTTTCACTATGGTGATTCGATATTAGGTTGTCATTATTGTAATGACAAAAATCATACCGAGGTTGGGTTCTATGATGTTTTTGGGATGGCATTCAACACTACCCTAAAAATGTTGGTTGATAGGCGAATTGATGTGATTGTAACAACGTTTTCACCTGCCCATTTTGAAGGTGATTGGGATTCATTAGATTCGTGTTCAAAGACAAAACCTTTTGAAGAAAATGAAAGGGTATTAGATGGAATGGATTATGAGATGAGAAACAAAGAGGTTGAAGAAGTGAAGGCAGCAAAGAAAATTGCTAAAAATTCAAAAGATTTTCGTTTAGAAGCGTTAGATGTGTCTAAATTAGCGTTAATGAGACCAGATGGGCATCCAGGGCCCTACATGTACCCGTTTCCTTTTGGTAATGGGAAACGGGACAGGGTCCCGAATGACTGTGTTCATTGGTGTTTACCAGGACCTATAGATACATGGAATGAGATTATGTTGGATATAATGAAAAGATGGAATTTTTAAACAAGGTAGATTACAATGTATTATGTCGATATACTTATATCAATACATGATCGAGTATTGCTCTTCATGAAAAACTGTATTACAATCCAAGAATTTGGTTTTACCAATGGATGTACAGATGTGAGATGACATTATTAATTAGTTGATAGTCGAAAAAAGTTCATGTTATTTATTTATTTGTTATATTACATTCATATGAAGTTGAGGCAGACATGTTTTTGCTTTCAAGAACATGATCCGTGTTGTTTGTTTGTATTGTTTTTATTAGCTTGTTGAGATACTAAACAATTATATAATGAATAAAATATATTTAGTGGAAGCATACTAAACTTAAATTAATTAGTTTTATGGTGTTAATGATTGTTTAAGCAAGTGTCATATGATGGTAGATGATTGCTCACATGAAGTGGATGTGGATGATAAAAGTTCATGTCTTTATAAAAGTTTATTTAAAGTGCAACAAGGGTTCTATGAGAGAAGAAGGATCCAATGAATCCCTTTTAATCAATAGTGAATATAATGTTTTTAAATACATATATAAAATTAAATGTATTTCCTAAATAATTAGATGATGGAAAGATCATGAATTAACATTGACAGCTTTTTTCTCTTTCAGTTCTAACATTTATGTATATGTACTATTGAAAATAACAATAAATTTCATGGTTTGTCATCAATCAATTTATCTTTTGTCTTTAAATTGATAGACATGCAATATCACTTAATTGATTATATGAAAATAAAAATCTATTGGTATTGGGTTTTTAGTAGAGAAAATCATAACATCTCGCATATTTTGAATCGTTTGCTAAATAACAACAAAAAATTAACAAGTTTCTAAATATAACATATTTTGTAAGGCAGATGATAAAAAAAACACTACAAAATTGGTCAATGTAAAATGGGGTTAGACTCAATATAGGTCATTGCGAAATGGACTTACACCACAAAATAGGCAGGGACGGACGCAGGATTTGGTAGTAGGTGTTGCCGGTCCGTAGTAGGTGTTGCCGGTTAGTAGAAAAAAGAAAAAAAATCGAAAAATATCGAAAAATTTAGACTGCTTACAGAAAAAACAGGGGTTTCCGGTGCCACTGCGGGCACCCAAAGAGAACCGTCCCTGAAAATAGGTCGTAGTGAAAATGCACAATACCATCATTCACCAACAACATATTAATTTTTTTTTATTATTGTAGAAATTTACACTACACACTATAAAACTATAAAACTGTTCATATTTTCTTTTTTCTTTTGGAAAATCTGTAAAAAAAAAGTCTCTATATTTTGTTTCTATTGACTAAAAATCATTCTTAATTTTTTTGACAATTTAACCATTAAAACCGGTAAAAATTTACAAAAAAACCAATGTAACCGGTTATAGCCGGTTTTAAAGGTTAAATTACAAACAAAACTCAATGATAATTTTTTCCTTAATAATTTTTTGGGGTGCTGATAGTGATGATCGTCGTATGCATTGAGTTAGATGGGATAGAGTTTTAACCTCCAAGGATGAAGGAGGTCTGGGGATTGGTAGTCTTTTCTCTTTCAATAGAGCTATGATTTTTCGGTGGTGGTGGAGGTTTTATCATTGCCCTGATCTTCTGTGGGTTAGAGTGATAAAATCTATATATGGTTTGGATGGTGCTTGCAGGAACTTGAGATACGCTATTACTGGTCATGGTTCTTGGGGAGGGGTCGTTCGAATGTTCTCTCAGTTACGCTAGAAAGATATTGATCTTCAATCTCTTTGCCCTATTAGAGTTGGTGATGCTACTCACACTTCTTTTTGGCACGATGTTTGGAGAGACGATATGCCTCGGTCTGTCTCTTTCCCTAGAATCTATGCGCTGGACTTGCACAGACATGCTTCTATTACAGACAGGTTGTCCTTGGGATTGGGGGTTAATACTCTTAGACGTGACCCTAGAGGTGGAGCGGAGCAGGAATAATGGAACAATCTTATTTGTCTTTTGCAGGATTTCCAACTCAGACCGGTCCCAGATAGACTGGGTTGGGTTATCGATGTGTCAGACAATTTTTCTATCTCTTCGGTTCGAAAACTATTGGATGGTTATACGCTTAGTAACGGAGGTATTTCTACTCGTTGGAATAATTGGGTTCCAATTAAGATTAATATTCTTATATGGAGGATTAGATTGTCTAGTATCCCTACTAGAGAACGCCTATCCTATAGGGGTATTATGGTAGATTCCATTCTTTGCCCTGTTTGTTCTTCTAGAGTGGAGACTGTTGACCATATTTTGGCCGAGTGTTCTGAATTGTGTGCTTTATGGTCCCGTATCGCGATTTGGTGGGGTGTTAAATGCCCTTCTCAGTTGACTGTGGATTCTCTTTTCAAATGGGCTGATACTACCATCTGGCGTATTGGTCAGCGCAAAGTTTTTGATGCTGTGATCTTGACTGCCTTCTGGTGCATTTGGAACTTCAGGAACGGTGTGATTTTCAAAGCGGATACACCTAAGAAATCTTTGATTTTTGATGATGTTGTTCATAAATCTTATGTTTGGATTTCTAGTAGGTGTAGTAAAGCCAAGATTAGTTGGCCCTCTTGGCTTCATAATCCTATTTCTGCTACTATTTTGATGTAATTCTCTTTCTAGCTTCTTGCTAGCTTAATTCTATTCCGCCGTTCCAAAAAAAAAATAATGTTAAAATTTACGGACTTTTTCAGAGATTTTTTTATATATATTAAATTTATTTGAAGAAAACTTATATTTATTTATTAAAAAACTCAAAGTAAAAATACCATCTAAATCTCTTTTACTTTCATATTTTTTTACTAAAAAACACAATAGTTATAATTTATATATCAGTTTTTGAATTTTTTTTTTAGTTTAATAATATTGTTACTATAATCATAAAGATATCATCTAAATACACTTTTTAAATAGAGCTCCATTATATTTTTTCTGAGCTTCATTGTATATGTGGCCTAAATAGAGCTTCATTTTTTGTGATATAAATTTAATAAATATCATTACTATAATCATAAAGATATTGTCTATAACATATATAAATTACGAGGACTTTAGTAATTTGTCGCAAGAAGCGTATTTCTAGGTTAAATGTTATTTCATTGTTGAATTATTAGGTCTCAGGTGTAAAAAGTTTATCATAAAACTACAACTCACCGAAGATCATTTCTCAATTGAACGTCATCTCAGAAAACAAATGCTTACCAGAGGTTGTTATTCCTAAATAGAGCTCCATTATACATGCTATGTGGCTTAGCAACGCACTACTGACGACAAATCAACAAAATTATTTTTATTTTATGAGGTGATGTTCGATTGTGAAATGATCTTCAGTAGGTTGTAGTTTTATGATAAACTTTTTACACCTGAGACCTAAAAATTCAATAATAAAGTAGCATTTGATCTAGACAAAGTCTTCTTAAGTTATATAAGATATATATTGTATCTTTATGATTATAGTAATGATATTAATTAAAGACGATCACAAAAAATGGAGCACGATTTAGGCCATATATATATAATGAAGCTCTTAAAAAATATAATGAAACTCTATTTAAGATGTGTATTTAGATGATATCTTTATGATTATAGTAATGATATTTATTCAAGATAATAAAAAAATGATATATAAATTATCATTATTGTTTTTTTAAAAAAAATATATGAGTTTTTTTAGTAAAATGGATTTAGATAGTATCTTTATTTTGAGTTTTTTTAATAAATAAATATAAGTTTCTTTCAAATAATATTAGTATATATAAAAAAATTTCAGAAAAGTCCTTAAACTTTAACCTTATTAACGAAAAAGTCGTCATTGATTTTTTTGTTTGCAGTTTACCCCTTAAAACCGACAATAACCGGTTACAAGGTTCTTTTGCAAGTTTTTACCGGTTTCAATGGTTAAATTGCGAAAAAAAATTCAAGGGTGATTTTTTTCTCAATAAAACCAAAATATAAGAGCTTTTTATTATTATTTATTTATTTTTTTTTTGCAAATTTCCCTTTTCTTTATTTAAAAATCATGATTTTATCAAGATTTTTTTTTGAAAATTTACGTGGTAACGATAATCAAAAGTTAAAAATCATTAAAAACTTTACTTTATTTGTATTTTTTTTTCTCGCAAAAGCCAAGATTTGCATTAATGTCGGAGTCTTGGTGGTAACTTAACTACATTTTGTTCAGCAAATCATGACCATCCAGTATAAGCTCTATAAAAAAAATCTCGAGTAAGTCATTAAAATATCCTTGTATTTAGCAAAACACATGGATTCTAGGGATGAGTAATGGTTGGTTTAGTTGTTTCTTTGGCTAAAATCGAACCCAAATCGTATGTCAGTTTTCTTGGTTACAAAACTCATATAGCTTCGGTTCCTAATGAGTTCAGTTTTTCGGTTAGCGGTTTGAAACCATGGGTTTTGATTTATATTTTTGAAAGTCCAAAACATTAAAAGTACGTTGCTATAAACCAAATCAGATCAAATATAGATTTATTAAATATGGAAGTTGACCATCATACCCTTATCTATAATATGACAAATTGCATTAGTAGTCAAATAAAAAAAGTTCTTGATTAAATATGTGTGGTGCCTAATTATACATAACAATGGTAAATCATGTCTACTAATTTTACACACCCTATCTCAATAAATTGAATTAGGTTGTCTAATTCCTTTATTCCAAAATATATTTAGCTATTAACAGTACTAAAGGCTTCTTAATACCTAATTTCTTCTGTTATATCTCTTTGTCTTAATGATCTCTATACATAATTTCTAAGATTATAAGAGAAGTCCCACAGTTAAAAAACATATATTTCCAACGGTCGATGAGAGCAGCATCACTTATACTATTATCTATTTATTAGTCTCATTTCATGAAATCAATAATGAAATTACCAAGTCAATGATATTGATACTATCATACTTTTCTATGAAGACAAAAGATTAACTAGAACAACGATTTGATAACACTTGAAGAATTTAACACTTCCTAGTCAAAGCTGGCGGAGTATGTAGAAATTAAATTGCTCAAATTACACAAAGAGGATATCACATTAAGGATATCACAGAACAATCTTACTCTAATTGATAACATGGAGAAGTTTCTTGGAAACAAGTCTGTAAGAATCTAGCTTGAGACATTCCATATCTATAGGATATCACATTAAGGATA